AACTGGAACGGTCAAACCTTCCTGGGATTTACTGAAGTGACATATTATCAAGTTGGAAAAGAATAGTTTTGAGTAGAAAATTTATATTTTACGCGCGATGAGGTGTGCTGATAAAATCGAATCACATATCTGCTTGTTGAAGTTCAAACGGGCACTGAACGCGTTCGCATTTGTTGGGGGATTGCGGTTGTGATCATAGTTCAGGGTTGTGAGTACCGTTCAGACAGTAGTCTCCCTCGACCAATCAGAAGCATCCTATCAGTTGAGACCTCTTCACTCCGGTTTTTTGAGACTAATCTTCAGTGTGAAATCTCCAGCGCCCAGCAAAATGTACTTGTGGAACAAAACAAAGTTCAGAAGGTGGAATTCATTTTTTCGTGTAATGAGAGAGGTTTAGCGTGACACCAAGTTTCTACCATTTTCTGGCACAGTTGACAGAGGATACTCTCCTAGTTCGGAGGGAAGGGGCTTGCTCACATCCAGCTGAAGGGAATTCCGGTAAACGTCATATCCCTCTGAAATACCGACGCTTATGTTTCAGCTGAACCTCTCGATAAAATTTCCTTCCTTGTCAGAAGAAATCCAAAAGTCGAGAGGTCTATAAAGTGTACATTCCCGGGATGGATTCCTCGATTAAGCTGGTCTGACGAATCGGACAGCTGTCACCATCAATTACCAGATGTGCACCAAGAACCGTCACAGTTTGTCTCTTGGTGAAAAGATGTCTCAGGTTCCACGGATTGTCCGCCCCGAATTTAATGCCACGAAAAGGGGACAAAAAACGTACCGGTGCCTGAAAAATGAGCTGTGCTCCTAGAAGTATTTGCAAGTGATGAGAACTAAAGTTGGTTCAAAAGGATGTACTGTTGGGCTCGTTTAACTGTAATATACACGAGAAAATCAACGCGGCCTAGAATTTTTGGAGCAGTACCGAGTTTTTTGGTTCTTGAAAGGAATTCGATTTGAATTAAAAAATCCGGAGGTGAGTAGAGCTCGCTAGCGTTCATCCATGAGTGATTCTGGTGCGTCATGTGATCCGATGCAATTTGAGACTGATAATGAGGAATTGTAATGGAAGGACCTAGACATCCAATGGGATATAATTTATATTATTACTCACACTTTGTTAGTAGTAAGTCGTATGACGTTTTCATCCTTAGATTTGGCGCTACAACTTTCCGCTAACTTCATTTTTTGGCATTCACCGTCCACCTAAGATATCTTTAAGTTTTGGAACCGGGTTAAAGAATTTCCGAAGTCCACATGTGATGTGGTATCAATGTCGGCCGAAGATTAGCACTGACAAAAACTCTGAAGGTTTTTCTGATAATAGCTAAATCTGAACATCATTATGCATGAGACCATAACAGGTAACAGGCTAACGCAATCACTTACCTGCAAATGAAGCGTCCAGGTTTGTTAACCAGCGTCTGTGAGCCATTTTGTTTAACTGTTTCGTGTCCATTGCACTCGCTGTGACCATTACACTGTTTGTGGCCATTACACTCCGTACTGCCGTTGAGCGTTACACCTTCCGGTTCAAATCCGCTGCCCAAGTTTGCTCCGTTTGCACATCCGTTGGTCAAATTCTGAGTCATTTGTGTGCCCATCACGATTGGGGAGGAGACCTGACCAGTGCAGAAGAGTAGTTTACCAAAACCTCGTATTTATACGCATGCCTCAGATGAGCGACATTCCATCATTACTTGGTCAGCCACAGTGTGGTCGCTGATTGGCTGGAGGGTGCAAAAATGATGTCCGAATTCTGTTTTGTTCTTTTTTTGCACTGCGAAACCAAACACACGTGGTGGACATTAAGTTGTGCATATGTGCTATCCCTCGGTGTCACCACAGGTGTAACTGGGAGTCGGTGTACGCAGGTACGTAAGGAAGGTTACTGAGAGAAGATTATGGTTAGACATTTACACTGTCGTTCGTTGCGATTGTGGATTTGGTCACGAAGTTTGCTGTGTTGATGAAAATATGCATCATTTGTTGTAATAGTGCTCTGAAATTCACTCGTTCTTGGTCGGTCGTTGGTTATATAATGCGACTCTTGTTCAAATTTGATCTGTAAAACAGCGAACTTTGAGCTGCCAGCCGTGAGGTGCCGTGAATCTTGAGAACAGAGAACTTAAATCTGTTACAACGCGCGAAAAACCCATTTGTTCATCGATCTTTTTCGTTGATTAATCGAAAATAAATGCACCCCTAGACTAAAGCCCACAGAACAAAGATGAAATTGACACATTTGCGCGGAATACGCTCATTTCCAAACCTATTTTTCTGCGGGAGTCTCACCTGGAACCACCAGGTTGCCTCATGTTTCAGTTGGTACGATATTCAAGATATTGCGATACACGCATAGACGTAATGAACTACTCATAAGGTTGCTGAAAACTATCCGATAGTCCACGACTGTCTCTGCCCTTCTTTGGCCTCACCAAGTAGCAGCAGTTTTCCAGTTTCCGTCGACCGTATGTTCTACTTGAACCCAAATAGCACGAAATTAGCGAAATATACACTCATTCGCAAACCAGTCTGGTTTTACGGGAGGCTCACCTGGAACCCGGCTGTATCTCTCGTTTATGATGAGCCCCAAAAAGGACGAAACCGGGCTGTCGATGTATTTTAAGCAACCTTATGAGTAGTGTGTTATGTCCATAAAATATTTTCATTTTCCAATAGAGTTTACGCCAATCTAAGTTGAAAAGCACAGATTCACTGTACAGAAGCGGTGTGCATCTCACGAAACGCAGTGAGTTTCGAACCCGCAAACTTCCAGCTGGTGGTTGAACACTTAGCCATTGGGCCAGAAGCGGCTGATCCACAATGTCGCTGGGTCTCGCTCAGACAGGAGAGAGCGTCACTCATGCATCAAACATAGAGAGCGAGTCACGTATTGACTGGTTTGTCGAGTGACAAGTTCTCAGATGCAAAAAAGCGTCCCACGAAATTTGGAGTCCTGTTGAAAAAAGTAATCAATTACCACATGCAACGATTAGTCTATAATCCGCTCAGAGAAAGAATAATTTCACAATATGAGCGAAACTTTCATCTGAGAAGTCGTTACTCGCGGGGCTAGTCAACACGTGACCTCGTGATGTGATTTCCGTGATTGAAGGATGAGTGATGCGTTGCCCTGTTTAACTGAGTGATCATCACACTGCTTGTCACTCGCTCGTGGACAAACCACTCAAATCGCTAGTTTTTATTCGGGCAACGTTTCGCTTTTGACACAAAAGCTTCATCTGGCGATGTGAGCAGATCACAAAATTGGCCAGGTTATAAGGCAGACGGGGAAGCAATCAGTAATTCAGTCCTCTTCAGATTATCACACTAGATCAGTGTTGAGTGTCAATCAATGGCTCTTGTCGGTTAGTGAAGAGAGACTGATAGCTGATGCGGTAGAAATCGCCAAGCGTCCCAATCGTCAAGCCTCCCAGTGTTAACAGAATAGAAGGTGTGGAACTGGCAAACGTGTGGAGAACGGTTCTGGATCAGTCCAGCTGACACGTTTTGATGTGCGGTCATCAGAAGGAAGAGTGGTCATCATCTGGATTCCACTTGACCTCAAGCTAAATTGTCGGAGCACTCGAGACCCCACAAAAACCAGGGAATATCTACCAGTGGCAACCGAGGTGAATCATCAACTGAAGCTCCCTGAAGTGGAAGATTAACCAACCAAACCCGATCGGAATTAATTTAACCTCTCCCCCCCCCAATCCACCAAAGCAAGATTTTGACAACTTCACTAACCGATAAGAGCCATTAATTGACACAACACGGATCTAGTGTGAAAATCCGAAGAGGACTGACTTACTGATTGGTTCCCCGTCTGTCTTATAACCTGGCCAATTTGGTGACCTGATGAAGCTTTTGTGTCAAAAGCGAAACGTTGCCGAAATAAAATCTAGCGATTGTTTACCAATCTCTTCTGAAACGATGACTTCTCAATCGGTTCCAAACTTTTTCCAGTTGGTTAAAAACCACTCAGATGTACAGATTGCTGGTCAGGAAATCAAGAGTTTGAAACTCCCCATGATTCCCAACAAGGGTGAAACAGCTGTACTGTACTCCTGGGCTTTTCAGCGCAAACCGTTTGAATTCACTGGATGAAATATCTAATGGGGGATTACAAATTTCCTTACACAAGCATCAACGTTTTCGGGTATTTTTGACTTATCTAGACTGGCATAGAAAAGGGGATAAACTACTAATCTGGTACGAAAATAATACACGATGTGACTGAACAGTTCAGTTCGGGTGAAGCGGACCAGGGTGTATTGATTTTTCAAGGTCATTTTCTTCAGGACGGTATAAGTAGAAAGTTAACGAAAAACTTATCCAATTATCAAAATCCGGAATTGATCCAAGATTTCTTTTGAAAACTGCTATTCTTTCTAGTTTTGTCAGTCAAAATTTTGATCTTTATCGAAGCTACCACACGTGAACGTGGTTATGAATTGCACGTAACTCACGTGCATGAATACTTTGACAGTTTTTCTACTGCAGTTACAACAGTAACTGGGGGGATGAGCCCATCTTAAGTCCGTCTTGTTCAGGAGCTGCCACAATGACGCCTCTGATTTGAATCAGTCATTCATTCAAGGATTCTGATTCAAAAAAATTAAGATTGTTTGTTGATTCAACCACTACCGGTCAAGCGGGATGCGCTTTTTGCTGATACTTAAAGATATTTTTCTCATATTTTCTCTGCACTGTGACGTGGCTGGACGCAGCAAGAACGACGCCGATTTCCTGCGTTTTACTGTCGCCACGGAGGTTTGTCCATCACTCCGAATGGTTTGTTGTGTTTTGAGGATAGAGTTATTATTTCACCGACTCAGCGAGCGGTTGTTCTTGCAGATTTGCACTCTGGTCATCTGGGTGTTGACAAAATGAAATCCCTTGCACGCTTGTCATGCTGGTGGCCGGAACTGGATGTTGATATCAAGCATACTGCTATGAGTCGTGTTAAATGTGTACATGAGATTTATAACAAGTCTTCACAGTGGTATCCGTGGCCAGTTACTTGTGAAGCATTTCAACGAGTTCGCTCCGACTATTGCGGTTCTTTTCTTGGTAAATACTATGCTTTAGCTGTTATTGAAGCATATTCACGTTGGCCTGAAGTTTTTCTAACCACGTCTCCAAGTTCCGAATTTACTCAGCAAGCATTGAGGAAAGTATTCAGCCATGAAGGTGTACCAACTGTTTTGGTCACTGACAACGGCACACACAATTCACTGCAAAATTCCTCGAGGAATGGCTAAAAGTTCTTGGATATCGACATCTGCTTACTGCTTCATGACATCTCCGGTCGAATGGACTTGCTGAGAATTTTGTCCGAACACTGAAGTCTTACTGCTCCACGACATCTCCGGTCGAATGGACTTGCTGAGAATTTTGTCCGAACACTGAAGTCTGTCATTATTTCAATCTCTCCTACTACTTTTGTGGAATTGGACCATGGGATTGATAATTTTCTAATGCAACACAGGAACGCCGTTCATTTCGTTACTGGGAAGAGTCCCGCGCTTCTATTTAAATCTCGTTCGTTGCGTACAAGTCTTGACTGTGCCAAAACGTCTGATGATACATTTTTCAAGGGTAATGATTTACGATCTGCTACAGGAATAGTACTTTCATCAAATAGCAAACGGATGGTGACAATTCTCGAATTGGATGGCCTCTCTTGGCATCGGAAACACATTGATCAGGTCGAGTTCAATACAAGAGGTCAGTCTGTTAATGGCACTCCTGCTGTTTCAAATACTAATGAGTCCTTTGTAGATGATCTTATGGTATCTGAGCAAAACGCTGTATCTGAAGAGCGCACTACCTCTGAAGAATCTGAAGTTTGCATTCCGAGAAGATCCGAAAGATTGCGATCAAGACCACCACTGGACTATGAACATCCACACGCTCATTCAAGGTGTGGCGGATGTGATGAACACGATCCATACTCTATTCATTGCTCCAATAATTATTCCCTTGTTTTGATATTCCATATGCCATTTCAAATAAATACGTGCTAGTTCTTACGCTGTGCTGAATTCTGAATTTCTAGTTCGTCTGGTTATACTGATATACGCGTGGAACTTAATTCTCACACTTACCTTTTGTTCGATTGACGTTATTTCTCTGCCTCAGGACACCTTCACCAGGTATCTAGTTAACTGATCTCGTTCGGTTTTTGGGACAACGTGGACTACGAAATGACGTACAAACAAATGAACACTTGTCACTTTGACGTCGGCTCATTGTAACACAACGCCATTTGCGATGACGACATTTCTTTCTCACCGCAAATTGAGTGAAAATTTCTTTTTTCGGACTCTCTACTGTAAAAGAACACCCGAGTTTCCCCTCCTCAGATGTATCTTACCTCAGCAAGCCTTAATAACACCAGTTACTCTTGCTATGTCAACGTTGGCAAAACCATGTGATACTCAAATGTTCGGAACTTCTCGACAGACTTTTAACAGTTCTACCCCGCTTGACACTCATGCTGTAAACATAGTCTCATAGATTTCTCCAGCCTCTTGGACCCTTTCAGTTAAAATTTTTCGCAGGTCACTTGCCAGGATCCGCGAACAGATCGATTTCCACGTGATCACGAGCC